CCCCAAAACCCCAAAACCCCAAAACCCCAAAACCCCATCTACTTTTAACACTATTGAAATCGATATTTTCACATATTAAATAAATGAGCAAGACCTTCTTTAAAAATGGAGCTCTATTAGAGTCCAGATTGCATTACTCAAGCAGAGTAGTTGAAACTTAGATTCCCCAAGAACTAAGTGAACTATTTTAAAGCCTGGATGGTTCTAAATATTGCTAAATAAGCCAAAATGTATATTCTAGTATAAAATCACCTCCAAGTGAAAACTTGTATTCTTACCCTCTAATTGATATAAAAGTGGTAAAATCTATCTACAAAGGTTGGCTTCCTACTCATTAGCTTGCTTCCAGGCTCTTGATGCCAAGAAACATGAGCTTCAAGGAAGAATTAAGAAGGCTAGAAATCACTAAAGCTGAATAGTTTTGGAATTATTGATAAAAGTACATGACTTTTAAACTTGTATATAAACCAAGAGCTTTAGCTCTCCTTCCTTTCAAGTCTGATTGTCAGATTCTTGGCTGAGGTTCAGATTTGGTCGAGTTTCATCAGGACTAAGTTTATCTGCTTGACTAATTCATCAGGAGTAGGTGCTTCTCTAAATTTTACGGTCTTTATTAAAGCTCTTGAGAACTTAGTGCCAAGGTTTTTAACTGCATCCATTTCGAATTGGGAATCTCCAAGAGCCACTAAGTTTGTTATTGCTCCTTTCTCCATTTTCTCCTGAGTTTTTAAGAAGGCAGTCATTTTCCATTGATTAATATCAGTTGGGTACTCGTCTTCTCAGATAGCTCTAGCGCTCATGATAGTGATCTTCTCTAAATGTGGTACTAACTTTGGGAGGTATTTTCTGGCAGAATATTCCACCCATCCTTCTGCTGCATTTGTGATGATATAGACATCTCCATAGTTCATTCATTCACCGAGAATATTGATGCAAGCTTTTTCTAGTCTCTTCATCTGTACTTTCACGTTCAAAGGCAGATCGAAGTTTCCTCAATTGGTTGGATTGAGGAAGGTGGTGCATAATAAGGTGTCATCCCAATCGAAGATTATACAAGTTTGGTGGGCTTTTGGCTTTTCTGAAGGTGTCAACCAAACTTTTTCTTGGGTAAGTCTGGACAAAAATTTTCTACGCATTGCATCTCCTGATCTTTCCTGGTTCTTTGTGATAAAATCTAGCTTAAAATCCTGATCTTCTTTGTCAGCCTCTGTTATACTTGCATCTTCAGTTGCTGTAGAATCGTCTTTAGACTCGCTTATGAGCTCTTTAAGGTTGTGTTTAAAATCAGGTGCAGTGTTTCTAGTTTTCTTAGATTCTTCATTATTTTCTTTTTCTTTATCTAATTCTGAAGACTTAACCTCCTTAACCTCTTCCTGATCTTGAAGGAAATCTCCAAATCCTCCTTCATTTTCAGGCATTTTTGATTCTTGCTTTACGTCATTTCTAGCCTTATCCTTTGCTTTCGACATTGCTTTGTATGAGTATGAGGAGGCATGTTCTTTATCTAAAAATAGTTAAGACAAGGCCCAGCGAGCAAAAGTAAAGGACACAAAATTACCTTTCTTAGGATCTCCTTTGCCAGGCAACCCAGATATTGTACTGGTCATCATACGGTTATGTGGAGCATACTTCGCGCCCTCCCCACTTCCAATATGGTTGATTCCTAGATTTTTGTAGTAATTTCTTCTAGCGTTAAACCCTTCAGCAGCAGGTTTTGAGGGTACTTCTTGTATCACCAGTCGGTCTTGATCCTCCTTGTATCCTTTCTTTAGGTTTGACTTCTTCAGTTTGTCAGCCATTTTCCTTCGGTGAGATCGATGTTTTCTATTAAAATCTAGTTAGAATTTGGTATTGCAAATGATTGGAAAAGAGATAAGGATTTGGTAAACATACTTTTTGCTCGTGAGTAACTCTCCAGTTCCAGCTCTAGGACTATCAGCCATGTCTTCTCCTTCACTGGCAATATTGTTACCCATTTATGTAATAAAAATATTATTTGATAATGCACTCAGAAGAAAAGGGGTTTTGGGGTTTTGGGGTTTTGGGGTTTTGGGG